CGTACTCGACCGTGTATTCGGCAAGCTGTACCTTCGTCTTTATCTGAGTTACCTAGAAGAAAAAAAATGAAATCTCCAGCTACAATTCGAAAACCGTGTTCTATATACAGCCATAGGCGGACCGAGGACGGACTCCTGGAGGGTAGGGGGAGAGTGGGGTTACTGGGAGAGGAAATCCCCTCCCATCCTGGAACTATGCAAAAGCTAGGAATAGAACTGTAACACTGCTGTCTAGAGTTACTTTACTTTAGAGTTACTTTAGGCTTCAGTTTACTTCAGTTTTAGCTTTAGACCCGGGCTTTTGCAGCACTGGTGATTGTGTCCTGGGAAAGTGGGAAAAACCCATGGCAGACTAAAGGCCATGAGTCTGATAATAAGACTTTTGCACTAGTACAAATCGCATCACTTGTTGTAAGGGGAAAATCCCTTTAGCCTATAAGCATGAGGTAAAGTAACACAATACGCTGATTTTGCTTAAAACATAGCGAAATAAGCTTTGGATTTCTTTTATCTCATTCCACAAAAAAAAAACAACAAGGAACGAAAACTCACTTGCAACCACGTGAAAAACATTAAATCCGTTTCCAATTAAAATAAGCATTCCACTGTCAATATCCGAAGACTGTTTGGGATTTTTCATTCGCTCTAGCTGAATTGCACGAGCCTCTTCTCGTTGCTTTATATCTGCTTCCATCTGCAAACCTTCCTCCACACGTCCACTGACCAAGGTTATCTACAACAATAATATTTTAGAAATTTCAAAAATGCATCACTGAATAACCACAAGAGCTTGTGAAATATCCGTAAAATAAATAAAAAAAAAAAAAAACCTGTTTGATTAAGCACTGTATTCGTTCAGAAAGAAAAAAGTTGCTTTTAGAACGAGGAAAGATTAAAAGCTACTGACCAATGAAATACATCTAATAACACTGCGTGGAAACAGTATGGGATCAGAAGCCTGGGATTTTGAAATCATCGAAAGAAAGCCTTTAAAAAATATTTTGAATATTAATACTTAAAAATACTTAAATACTTAATACTTGGCGTTCGTTTGAGCACTTAAATACTCAATGTCAACATTTAAAAGACTTAATAATTAAG